GTTTACGCTTAAATGAGCTAATATTTATTAACTAAAACTTTGGTTGGTTGTGAGTGAAGAGAACACGCATTACTATGCACCTATCGGTCAACAAACCAAGGAGACTATTAAAGATCTGTACTTTCTAACTTTAAACGGAGGAAGATATTCACGCAAATGACCTTCCCAGCGCACCAATCACGTAAAAGAAAATAGATGAAATAAAATCTCTGAAGTCCTTGGCCCTACTATGATCGATTCCTCGGCAGACTGGCCCTCCTTGGAACAACCCAAAGGACGTGTATCGGGTGAAGGAGAAAGTAACCCGCCGTCTGGACGTGCAGGAGAGGCTGGTGGTGAGGAACGGCGCCCAGAAGAAGGAGGACCTCTCGCTTCGTCCCAGTCTCTTCTACATGCTTCACAACGCCCTGAAGGTGGGTACACTCGGTGGTCCCTGTCAGCTTTTTCAAGTCTCTGTGTCCGTATCTGTCTTTGCTTGCGTCTCTCTCTCTCTCTCTTATCTTTCTGTGTATCTGTTTGCGTCTCTCTCTCTCTCTCTCTCCCTCTCTCTTATCTTTCTGTGTGTCTGTTTGCGTCTCTCTCTTTTATCTGTCTGTCTCTGTTTGTGTTTATCTCTCTTATATCTTTCTCTTTTATCTCTCTCTCTCTCTCTCTCTCTCTCTCTCTCTCTCTCTCTCTCTCTCTCTCTCTCTCTCTCTCTCTCTCTCTCTCTCTCCTCTCTCTCTCTCTCTCTCTCTCTCTCTCTCTCTCTCTCTCTCTCTCTCTCTCTCTCTCTCTCTCTCTCTCTCTCTCTCTCTCTCTCTCTCTCTCTCTCCTCTCTCTCTCTCTCTCTCTCTCTCTCTCTCTCTCTCTCTCTCTCTCTCTCTCTCTCTCTCTCTCTCTCTCTCTCTCTCTCTCTCTCTCTCTCATCTCGGTTTGCGTCTCTCTTTCTTTTATCTGTCCTTGTCTCTGTTTGCGTCTCTCTTTATTCTCTTCTCTTCTCTTCTCTTCTCATTCCCTTCCTCCTTCCTTCCGCTCTCATCGTCTCATCTCTTACTTTCTCTTCTTTTCTCTTCCCCTCCTTTCTCTCTCTCCCTCTTTCTCATTCTTTGTTATTCTTTCGGATTCGTTCAAGTTCTGTTAGTCTCTTCCACCCTTCTGGCCTCTGACTCGATGCGTAGTGTATTTGATTACAAGCAAATTTATTAACTGCATCATATTATGTAAAATAACTTTATTTACACGTCTGTATTTGATTATGCTTCATATATGTATGATGATTTTTCCGATTTTGTTTTTTGTGAATCTCTTCTCTGTCATTTCTCATCCGCATGCTTCTCCTTTTTTAATGCTTAGTGCCCCCTTTCCCCTTTTCTCTATTTTAGAATACCAACGTTTCGTAGAAAGGAAATAATGCATTTTATTTCAAGCCTTCAAAGTGAAATTTCTGTAAAATAAATAAATTTAAATCGACAACTATTTTTACAATGTTATAAATCAAAAGGATGAATCCAAAACCGTCAGTTTGTATCATTTTTTAATGAATATTACCGTGTGCAATGTCCAGAAAAATCAGATTTAAAAAGAGTTATTTTAATTAGAATACGCAAGATAAGTATTCATATATTTAGTTATACAAGGGTCCATGACCTTTATATCATGCAAAATAAAGTGAAAGTTAAATAAGACTTTATATATAGATAGATTGATATGGATAAAAAGAAAAGGAAAAGCTGGGATACTATTTTTCCTGGTTAATGTTATATCCAGCCCGTTTAATCTTTCAGAGGAGTAACCAGTGCAGCCTGGAACAGTCTCCACAACAGCTGATGAACGGCTTGCACCTCCTGCTGGCGCTGACGGAGGCTCGAGGTTTTGCCATGCTTGAGTTCTCCTGGATGATCCTCAGAATCTATAATGAAGGTACGAGGCCGTTTTGGATTTATATCTGTGTGTGAGTGCATCAGTGTGTACTTGGTTTGTCAGCATTCTTGTACAAGTGTGGTATATGTATGCGTTTTTGTGGCATGTTACTGGTAGTGAAATATGGCGAAACGTATGTGGGATCTTGAGAAAACATAGAAACGATTGATGAAAGAAACCACACACACACACTGTAACCCAGCTATATCTACATCATATTACTATATTCTACATATTTATATAAACTTACATGTTTGTCACGTGCACATGCATATACATATGCATATACACCCTACCTTCCCCTGCTTATTCCTCTCTTCTTGCCACACTATACATTCCAATGCTGTGTTATCTATCTCCTTCCGCAAGAGCTGTGTATTGATGTAACGCTTGCTTGTTCGTCACCGGTTGTCACATGCTAACAACGTGACTTATCGCGATCTTTAAACCACTGTAGAGCAGCCGCACTCCAACATTACTATTCAATAAAGGCGTCAAGACATCTTGGTTGTCTACCTTAAACCACAAGTTCGCCATCTACTATAACCTTGTAGGGCCCATCATTCGGGCTCTTACACACACACACACACACACACAGTCCCATCTCCAAAGCACACCGCGAAACGCAGTTGGCGTGGGATGTTCTCACAGCGCCTTCACCTGCTTCAGGAAACTTCACGGTGGAGCAACAGCTGGCTCAGGATCTCTACTTGCAATACTCTGAGGACATCATGATGGAGGCGAAGGAGGTCCTCCAGCTGCAGTCTCGGGAGTACATGAGATGTGACCCCAGGGAACACGTGGAGGGCGAGACTTACGTGCAGTTCACCGAGCTCCTTCAGGTACGAGTGATGTTATGTTCAGTTGAAGAGTGAGTGGTGGTGGATGGATGAGAGTGACGTGTGTGTGTGTGTGGTATATGTGCTGTGTGTATGTATGTATATATATATATATGTATGGTATATATATATATATATATATATATATATATATATATATATATATATATATATATATATATATATATATATAAATATATGTGTTATATATATATATATATATATATATATATATATATATATATATATATATATATATATGTAATATATAATATATATATATATACATATATATAATAATATATATATATATGTATATATATGTATATATATATATTATATATATAATATATATATATATATATATATATATATATATATATATATATATATATATGATATGTATATTGACATGATGATACACTCAAACTTGCGTCTTTACATAGGGTTAGCCAGAGACCAGCACAAGAGATGACACGACGCTTCTCTCTGCCTCTCCTACATACGACGATTCGCGCGCCTCATCCTGGGTCCCACGGCCACACAGCCAAGAGTGATGGGCTGCTACCTGTCCCGGCAGTCAGTGGGAAGGGTAGTGAGATAGGGAAGGGGAGAAAAATGTAAAGGCGAATATGGAAAGAAGGAATGTTTCAAGAAAGAACGAGGATAGTTTTTTTTAAGTAATAAGACGGAAAAAAGTATGCAAACTCCTTTTGATAGGTAATTTTCAGTCTACTAAGCAACCATCGACGCATAACACATAAGGACACAGTCGAACAGCTTCGTGTATTAACGCCCACTACTGTTCCAATGCAAGAAATGCAGCTTAGCGAGAGGGCCATGAACTGGCCACATGGGACGTAGATTCCGCAATATATAACCTCGCGCCACGGTGTATTAGCGGGATGAAAGCATAACACAGCATTTCATACCGTGAAACTGTACGTTTAATATTACATAAACTGACCTAGCACACGCCGACCGCCATTGCCGTCTGACATATAACCTTTAACAGTTCAAGACACAGAACACACATACTGAATTTACGCGCCAAAATTATTTTCCCATACACTAGCTCCTCGGACAGATAGCTGAATATTCATTACGGGCCGTAACGGTATTGCAGGAGATGCATTGAATCTAATACCGAAAGCCATACGCAAATATATCGTCTCTCCACCTAATATATTTCGTACCTACAGGTGGTAACTGGAATCAAGTTCACGAAGCAGAGGAGGATAATTCACCTCAAAGTACAGCAAGGTCAGGCTCTCCCGCAAGGACAGGTTAACAGCTCCACGATACAGTGGGTGGACGTCGAACCGATCAGCATCATCAGGTGAGTTAAAATTCGTGTTGTGGGAGTTTTTTAATGTACACAGGCAAGGACACGGTCGAATAACTCTTTTATTCGTATTTTTCCTTCATATTTTGTGAGATGTATAAAAAAGAAAGAGAGAGAAAGAAAGAGCATCGGCGTCGATATTTCTATCAAGACAAAACTTTTACTTTATACAACGTCCCTTCCCGCATCCCCAACCCCTCCCACGGTCGGAAAAGAAGACCGAAAAGGACATAAAAGTGAAGGATAATGACTTCCGCTTTTGCCTCTGAAGCAGTTGATCGACCATAACCGCTTCCTTCGTCAACGCGCATAAATTGCAGAATATCAAAAGAAAAAAAAATCTAAGACCGGAAGATGTCAGTTTATCCCTGAGATGCTGCTCATCATGCGTTCCTTGTTGATTTTTTTTTTCCTTTTAGCACTGTGAAAATATAACATCTCTTGTTAATGGCATGACTTGTTGAAAATCAGTAAAGACAGAAAACGCGAATGTTGGTTCCTTTTGGGCGATAATATCAAGAAACATGATATCTAAAGCATCCTCATCGGAGAGTTTTACGATATAAATACATTCAAATCGGACTTTACTTGTATGGATCGGTGTATTTCCTGAAAGCTTTGGGACTGACAGACTAAAAATCACGTGATAAGTAACATGACATAATTCATAACAAGTGTTTTCGTAAATCTTATTAACCATTCTCGATTACGTTCCTCATTTCAGTGAAAATCTTTATTATAAATTCCAGAGCCGGAAACTGTAGCACTTTCGCCATATTCCGCAGGACACTTTGGCTTTATACATGTATAGTGTGTGTGTGTTTATATGTATATATGTGTATATGTATGTGTGTATATATATATATATATATATATATATATATATATATATATGTGTATATATATATATATATATATATATATATATATATATATATATATATATATATGTATGTATGTATGTATTATATATATATATATATATATATATATATATATATGTATGTATATATATATATATATATATATTATATATATTATTATGTATATGTATTATATATATATATATATATATATATATATATATATAAATACATATATACACATGTACATATGCCCTGTACATAGACAGGTACTTATAGATATATAGATAGAAAAATAGATTTACATACATATATATATACATATATACAATTATACATATATATGTATATATGTACATTATATGATATACACACCTATATATATATATATATATTATATATACATATATATATATATATATATATATATATATATATATATATATATATATATATATATATATATATATATATATAGACATATATATATATAATATATATATATATATATATATATATATGTATATATGCACACACACACACACACACACACACACACACACACACACACACACACACACACACACACACACACACACACACACACACATATATATATGTGTGTGTGTGTGTGTATGTATATATATATATATATATACATATATATATATATATATATATATATATATGTATATATGTATATATATAATATATATATATATATATATATATATATATATATATATGTATGTATGTATGTATGATTCAGGTCATGCATTTGGAATAGTTGCCTTTCCGCATTTGCCAAAAAGAGAAAATGGATATTCAAAACTGTTTCCCATTTAGCGATGTAAAAACGTCAAATGTAATTTATTATACGCAATGAAATGTGAAACACTTTCAAATTAATAATAATTATATCAAAACTTTATATGCCCTCGCAAAACAAATAGATAAATATAAATGCAATAATTTGCTCCAACACAATGTTAACTTTTGAGTGGAATACGCATTTTTCTATTTAAAAAAAAATCGAACCGTTGAAAGAATAAATTGATAGATACATACATGTCAATCAGTTATTAACAAGACACGACATTTCTTGTAGTAAGCAAACTGATCATTTCGAAATGAGAACTTGAAATGACAACTTTTTGCCCGTTTTCTTTCTAAGAAATATTGAAATGACACGTTTTTCCATTTTCTTTCTTTGCCAGCACGCAGTACCAGGAGGGGAGGGACTACAAGAAACTCTCCTTTGAGGACAGAAACATTGACCTCGACCGCCTGCAGGCCCCAAGCGACCACGTGGTGACTGGCGTGAGATTTAGAATGCTCGGTCCACACATCAATCTGGAGGTAAAGGAATATGCTATCAATAAAATGCGAAAGAGGACTATGACTAGACGTCCTTCTGCAAGATGAATGACCTTGAGTCCATTGCCTTTCCTGGCTGTCTGATTGTGACCTGCATACAGACAAGTTTACTGATATTTATTCCATGCAATGGCTCCTCTGCGAGGGGAATAAGTGTAAGATTGTCTAAGGGATATATCACAGTACGTCATTATTACTGTGGCCTGTGAGTTTTGTGTAGCTGAATTTATGTGCTAACCAGTCAATGGCATCCATGTGATTAAAATATTTACTTCAAAATGAGAACTAGACTACATATATCTTGATTAAGAATTATATTTGTTTACCTTCGACAGGTTCAAGTGACGCCAGTGAACTACACGACGGGCCAGCTCCAGCCCTTCAAAAGTTACTGGATCAGCAACGACAACACCCCTGTCATGGCAAAGAACCCGAGGATGGAATTCAAGTTGTATGAGCCCGACGACCCGACCAGATTCCCCTCGATACACAAGATAGACTCGCAGCCGGATACCTTCATTCGCTTCGGACCGACCTCCAGAGGAAAAGACGTGGCGCAACTGACCGTGCCCTTCTTCGACGCCCAGAATGTGTCCCCATCGCCGAGCTCCTGGTTCTCCGGGGTCGAGCTCTTCCACAAGGGTCACCCTGGCTCAGGCGGCTTCCTCGGGCTCAGGGTCACCACCTATGACATGACGCCGTATATGGAGGACCCTGAGGAGGCGACGGACACGCACGTGGATCTCCCAAGCCCTCCGATCGTTTAACGGAATGTGTATCAGGGCGTTACAGGGTTTATTTCTCGTTGTTGCTCGTCCCCGCTCAGTTTATTCTGCCCGGGAGTTTTGTCAGTTCTTTCGTGAGCAGAAACGAAGTTAAAAGTTCAACAATAATTATCTTTGCAGCTTATTATAACATAGCAATGCTGATCGCATTTACATTCTATTTATGCCTTTACTTAATTATCAGACTGTGTGACTAGGCAATAAGTAATCGCTTCAGAGGCACATAAATCATTAGAAAGTAGCTTTACCATATATTTTTATATCTAAAGTAAGTGAAATGTATCCTACCCTGTGTTTCAAGTAAAGTCACAAAATGTTTAGTTTATTTGTTGTTAAATTACCCATTTGGGGAATCACTTAAAATATTTCCACTAGTTCAGTATAAGAAAGAAAACGGAAAGCCATTTGCCACTATTGAAAATAAGAAGTACCAGACTGGCAATCAATAGTTACCTTCTATATTCCTGAAAGCACTGAAAGGTAAATCTGCAGGAAGGGACGGAAGGTCCCTGCCTCACATGAACACGTTTTTCTTTGTAAACGCAAATAAACAAATACACTTAAACATGTCTTGTGTTTGTATCAGATATCCTCCTGGGAAATGTACTACGTAAATGTTTGCACACCTTAATCACCTCCCTTCTTTATCTTTTTAAATGAACATAACCTTGACAATCAAGAATGAAACCACAAGTACCCTCAGACAGAATTACAACCGCGTTACAATGCAAGCCACGGTAGGTTCACTTTCGCTCTAACCATGACCTTAGTGATAAAATCAAGGCTAACGAGAGTTATTAAAATTCGAGACCCGTGCAAAGATACGATATGGAGTCCACGTGGCTCGGTAAATGCTTAATATTCACTGGAGAAGCAGTACAATAGCACCACACGCTTGGCGGTATGTTTACCTCCGAGCGACGTCAATGGCAGAACACTGCTATGATGACAGAGGAACATCCTGTGATGAGACAACCCAGTGACGGCGTCTGCATGCAAAGTAGGGTGAATGGGGGGGGGGCGGAAGAGCGGGACTTCCAAGAAAAGGTTCAGTCACCCCTTTGCCTTTCTTGTTATTTATACTGACACATGGTCATGAATGAGAATTGGGTAAAATAAGATAAACACGAGTAAAGCTGCAATGCCTGTTTGACAGTGTCTTCGAGGGATCCAGTGCAGTAACAAGTTTCAGGTCTCGTGCGTGCCTTCATGAGCCCCGAGATGGTCTTGGCAACAGATTTCCGAGCATCAGGAGGTGTCATTGGGTCCTGGAATTGCAGGGAAGCAACACATCCCTGAGGATCAAATGCAGTGGTAGCATCTCGAGTAAAGGCGTCAGTGGAAACAAAGGAGATGCCTGCGTTCGTGGAAAAGGAAAGGGCGATGCATTCGACTCGTGTTGTGTTGCAGTCCGCGCTAGAACATGGTGAGAACAAATTATATGATAACAGAAATAAGAATATGAAAGATAGGAATGATAATGATAACCGCAATCCATTAAGTTCTATTTTAATATCAGTGATAAGAACAGTAAGAAATCCAACAAAAATGAAAGCGCTCGGTAGTAACCACTATGGTTATGTTCAGACAAAAAAAATATATTTACAAAGATAACCTTAATAATATCATGATTACAAACATACTGTTACGGTTGCCGTTCCTTTGATGACAATAATACTCATAGTAGGAAGTATAATAAAAATACTCATATAAGAGAGCTCTGAAGTATTACACAACGCATATGATAGGAAAGTGTGCAGTGCTACGTGCATTGCATTAATCAATACTCAGGGAGGAACTGGCTAAAATGTACAATATTTTGCAATTTCCGGCCGTCCATACAACATTTTCAAGATCTCACTCAACAAAAACAACAGTCATAGGTTAGTTTTCGCATTCACAGAAAATCTGGGGATCTTGGTGTAGGGGTAACTAATATAATATGTTGTTATGCATTACTGGGACCAGATATTAAAAAGACGAAACTTAAAATAAGTGATGATGGCAATAGTAATAAAAGAATAATAAAAGTAAACAGATGTCTGTATTTAAATCATGTAATGATGATAAAAGATACTTTAGTCGTGGTTATTATCATTCCTATTACTAACGTGCTCATGATAAACACTGCCATCACATGATGTAATGATAAATATGCGAAAGACGATGATTATCGTATAGGAGATGGTAGAAATAACGGCAGTAGAACCAAATATAACTACAACAATAATTTAAGGAACTGAGAGAAACTTTTTATTATAATTACCGGCATTATTACTCTAATTGTGATAATGATGATGATGAAATTAATATGCTAATTATAAGAATTATAATGATGGTAATAATAATGATAATGATTATAATGATAATAATAATAATGATTATAATGATAATGATTATATTGATGATGATAATTATAACAGTGATGCTTATAATAGTAATGATAATAGTAATGATAATGGTGATAATTATTATAATAATGATGATAATAATGAAAAGAATTATAATATTAATCACAATGATGATAATAATGATGATAATCATAAGAATAACAATAAGAATAACAATAACAGTGGCAATGAAAATACTACTACTACTAATGATGATGATGACGATGATGATGATGATGAGGAGGAGGAGGAGGAGGAGGATGAGGAGGATAATAATAATCATTATAATAGAAATAATAATAATGATGACAATAATAATAACAACAATGATGGTAATAATAGTAAAAATAATGACAATAATATTAGTAATGATAATAGTGATACTGACACTAATAATAATGACAGTAATAATAATAATGATGATAAGTAGTCATAGTATCATAATCATTTTCATTATCACAATATCATTATCATTATCATAGTCATCATCACCAAATCATTATCATTATCACCAATATAAAAAATATAAAGTAAAGACGGATGAATGAATGAACAAGTAATGGAAAAGAAACTCCATTCATTGATTGTAAAGTGTTTCTCTTAGTTTTTCTTTGTCAAACGAGCATCCAAAGAGTTGGAAATCGTCTGTTTGGTTTGGTTTGAAACTGGCTTTGTCATTCTTTTGTTCCAAGCCACTTTTTGAGTCTTCTTATTGTTTTCTTTCGTTGTATAGTTGTTGATGTTGTTATTGTGTGTGTGTGTGTGTGTGTGTGTGTGTGTGTGTGTGTGTGTGTGTGTGTGTGTGTGTGTGTGTGTGTGTGTGTGTGTGTGTGTGTGTGTGTGTGTGTGTGTGTGTGTGTATGTGTGTGTTTGGGAGCTTTTCTTCCCCATATATTTGTTCATCCTGTCTCTTACGGGAAAAGAAAAGAAAATATTTTGTATATATTACCCTGACGATTGATCGTTTTCTGAACTGTATATTCAACTTTACACTCGCACTTTTTCCTGATGAATTATTTCCAATTTAAAGTGCATACGAAAAATTTAATGAATTCGAATTAAGAACATATATACACTAGCAACGAATACTCCTTTTTAAGAATATGATTAACAAATGAAGAATTAAATCAATTCGAAGGTGTGAATACGATTTCAAGTCACCTGAACGTGCAATTCAATTAAACAATTAAGCTAAATACTATTACTTGAATAATTGAGAGAAGGGAGAAGGAAATTATATTACAAGGGACTAAGAGAGAATTTTTTTTCTTTGTTGTAAATTATTACTATCATCTTTATTATCATTAGTAGTACTGTTAGTAGTAGTGGTGGTGGTAGCAGTAGTAGTAGTAATAGCAGTAGTAATCATAGTGTTGTTATTGCTGGTATCATAAGCATCATTATTAGGGCGCCTTATAATTATCATTCTCTTTAATTATCATTATCTTCTTTCTCGTTAGCATGGTCGTAGTTATCATTATGATCATAAGTATCATTAACGTCATTATTTTCCTCCTGGCCATTTCCTCATCATAAAATTATCATCATTTTTAAAGTCCTTATCATATCCAAGGTTGTTATTATCGTCTCTATCATTTCATATTCATTATCTTATCACTACCATTTTGATAACTATATTGATTGCCTGTTTTATTTTTCTTCAATCTATACATAGACATAGAGTGAAAGAACAAATATTGTTTATTTAACACTCACCTAGATAGCCCCTGTATATCATAAATCGCAGATAATAAGCATAAATCGTTTTTGCAAACATACACGGAAGCATGATATCTTTAAAATCTGTAGATAAAAGTAATTGCAATATCTAGGTAAATAAAGCATAGTGTTCAGAATCACCTAATTGAATACACGCCTTTGTTTTAAGATATATATCGACATTATAGCAAGATCAGAAATGTTATATTTCGGAAGACAACAATACATTTACTATTCAGTATATCAATATTAAAGGGATAATGTCAAGAAGAGATTAACAGTTTCATTATCTAACAATCCTTAATCCTAAAATAAAGGATAACTGAATAGATAGATAGTTGAAAAGTTCGGTAGATTTAAATGAATAGATTGATATGTGTTTGAAGAGATAGAACGATAGATAATAAGACATACATTATCAGAAATCTAACTGCAGTTTCTCTTAATTAACTCTTAACCAACACTACTTCTCGCTCTAACATACATACACGGGTTGAAATATATTATACGAAGGAAAAGACAAAGAAAAAGAAAATCCCTCTAACACACGCACTATTAATCCAAGTCACACTACGGCTGGCAGAGTGACAATCACCCTAGTCTATCTCCGGTGACGCGTCTAAACTCGTTCCAAACACGATTTCCGGAACCGTGCAAAGCCCCTTTACAGGTGAATAGCTCCAGAGTCACATTTTTCGATATGCAGAATTGTTGTTTCATTTATTTTTCTCAAGAGAGTAAGTATTACATTAAGGATGTCAAATACGCGGGCAGTGGGCCGTATGTGGCCTGGATCACTCTCACTTGCGGCACGGTAGGTATTTCAGTCTTACAGTTTGCCGCTTTACATGCTTAGTTAATCCATTCCTTCGTTTATTCAAGTTATCACTAACACACAGATTTTTTTCTTGTTATCGTGTTTTTGTAATGAATGAAATAGCACAGGGTTGTCATAATCATGGTCCGAAGTCCGTGGGGTGACAAGAAGAATTATTAGCCTGTGAAATTGTGATCGCCATGATGGAAAATAATGGCATACACAATTTGTTACCATTAGTGTCGCCATTAAAAACTTGATAAGTAAAACTACATAATACCAGTTTCAGTAACGTAATCCTGGTAATGCAGGATTGGCCCTCAGGCTGGTAGCTGAAAGGAAAATTGGCGGAAAAAGGGTTTTGAGTTTGACGCCTCTGTACTACGTGGATGATGTTGATGATAAGAAATGATGTAACAGTGAAAAGTTATTTCGTAAATTTATAGTGAAAAAAATAGTGATA